CGCTTCATTGCAGTTCCATACTGACAAGGGTCCTGCAGGTTCCTCTGCAAACAGATAGTCAGAACAAGGCCACCACGCAAACCACCACCACCACCACCTCCTCCTCCTCCTCCTCCTCCTCCTCCTTCTCCTCCTCCTCCTCCTCCTCCCCTTCCATCCTCTTTCTCGTCCCCGTCCCCTTCTTCCTGCTCTCTGCTTTGCCCTTCTTTCCTCCCTCGCAAGCTCGCTCCTGCCTTCTCACCTCGAGGATCACGTTGAAGTTCACGAGGCCGTGCGGCTTGACGTTGATCTCGAGGGGTAGCGACCTCAGCAGCTTGTCCCTGCTCGCACTCAGACGATGCGAGGGAACGAGAGGAAGAAGAGAATGGAGAAAGAGAAGGGGATGATGATGATGATGATGATGATGATGATGATGATGATGATGATGATGATGATGATGATGATGTGCTGGGGGGGCAAGAGGAAGGGGAGTAATAGCAGCAGTAGTCAGAAGAGGAGGAGGCGAGGTACCTCTGATTCCAGGGCAACCCGACGCTGTAAGTTTGGGACGTGAAGATTTTGACTTCAACTTCGTGGAAGATGAGCTGACCATCAAGACCGATGGACTTCTTCTTCTGTTCAACACGCGAGGAGGCGGGAGGAGTGAGAATCAGGATCAGGATCAGGAAGAGGAGGAGGGAAGAATAGGAGAAGGAGGAGGGAGGAGGACGAAGGTTCGGCATACACCTGTGGAAAGAGGTACTTGAAGTGAGCTCCCTCGCCCGCCTGAGCCGCCCAGAAGCTGGAGGTTGGCAGGTGAAGCTGCTCGTCCTCGTAGCTCTCCTGCTCCCCCAGTCAACTCCGACACCGTCCCTTGCTCCCTACCAGGACGCGTTTGATCTGGTGAAGGAGGAGAGAAGGAGGAAGGTCGAGCTCTCGCTGCGGAAGAGTGAGAGGAGGAAGAGGAGGGCAGCAGCTCCTCTCACGCTCACCTGCCACAGTGCCTTGGCGCTGGAGGGCAGAGGCAGAGGCTGCGGTACACTCGCTCGCTCTGGACCAGGGAAAATCTCAGCTGAGGGCAGACCAGAGGAGGAGCAAGATACAGGGAGGGGGGATGAAGGGAGGGACAGAGCAGACGGAGGAAGGCGGGAAAGGTAGGAGGAAGGTGGAAGAGATGAAGGAGGAAGGAGGAGATGAAGGAGGAGATGAAGGAGGAGGTGGAGGAGAGAGGAGCAGAGAGGAGGAGGAAAGATTAGGAGGACCTGAGTTCTTATCGTAAGGCTGTACATCTTCCAGCCTTTCCCCAAACAAACTAACGAAGTCAACCGACGAGAACTGAAACCAAAAGTCCCTGTGAGGAGACTGCGAGATGCAGCGAGGATGCAGAGACTAGCGCGGGGCAGGGCAGGGAAGAAGAACAAGATGATGATGATGATGACGATGATGATGATGATGATGATGATGATGATGATGATGATGATGATGATGATGATGATGAGGAGGAGGAGGAGGAGGACGAGGAAGAAACATGACCTCCATCGGATGTTCGGTTTGAAAGAAAGCAGGATCGACCCGTAGGTCATCCTCCCTCTCCTCTACTCGGGTAACGGGACCAGCCACCATCGGCTGAAGCGCTGAAACTTGGGTAAGCAGATGCACTTCTCCTGCCCCTGCCCCTGCCCCTGCTCCTGCTCATCCTGCTCCGCTATCCTGCTCCAACCCCTTGCACTGTCCTCGACTCACCAGGCTCTGGCGATTCTTCAAAAAGTAGGCGAGGAGGAGGAGAAGGCTGCCTTCCCCTTCCCTTGGATCCCACACGAGAATTCCCCAGCTCCTCTGACAAGTCAGGGAGTCCATGACTGATCGTACAAGAGTTACTCTCCTCCCTCCATCCCTCTGCCTCCCTCCCTCCCTTTACCTCCCCCCCCCCCCCCCCCTCCCTCCCTTCTCTCTCCTTCCTAGCTCTTTGCTCTCACTTCCTCCTTCACTGATCACCTTGAGACACCGTCGAGGGCAGAAGGGATGCAGCCACTTGAATTCTTCGCACCTTCACCTCACGAATCAGACTTGAAACTCGCCCCCTCCCCCTCCCGCCGCCTCTCTCCTTTCTCCTTTTCCTCGGTCCTTCCTCGTCTCGCCCCCCACTCTCCGCCCCTCCCCACTCCTCCCCACTCCTCTTTCCTCCCCACACCGGGCTGGTCGCCTCGTAAGTTAGTGTATGGGTCGAAGGCGTGCAGCCATCCGTCCTCGTCAGCTCGGAAGACGCTGGGGAAGGAAACCTCCGGGGGCGGGTGTTCGAGAAGCGAGGGGTCCGAGAGGATCAGCTGAGGAGAGTTAGAAGAGAGAAGGACCGAGAAGCTTCAAGGCGCAGGACAAGGAAGAAGTAGCAGAGGAAGGGGAGCGGAGGTGAAGAGGAGGAGAAGTCAAGAGGTACCTTTCCTCGCAGCAGAGTCCTCCAGGGCTCTCCAAGGAATCTCATCATGTTGGCCCGACGGTTCAGGTTGGAGGATTTGGGATGTTTTGAGGAGACAGCAGCAACCCACTGACAGAGAGAGAGTGAGGGAGAGGCAGGAGGATAAAGCAACAGGAGAGAGAGGATGAGAGGGTGAAAGAGGAAGGAAGAGGAGAGGCAAAGGAGGGAGGAGGGAAGGGAAAGAGGATTTGACCTTCTCCATGGCCTGTCTCCTCCTTCGCTTCAAAGACGACGACTTTCCATCAGGATCCATGGTATCTTCTGCATCCTCTCGCCCAGGCTCGCTCAACTCCTGCTCCTCCTCTGTTTCCTCGAACAAGGTCTCCTGTTCAAGCTCGCGGGTGTAGAATCCTGTGTTCACCAGCTCACAGAGAAGGTTTTGCATCTTCTGTGCTGCTTCTCCTGACGTCACGATAGGAAACCTCCGCACGTTTGTCTCTGTGCTCTGCTTGTGCTTGGACGAGTGCTTGGTCCTTCCTCTCCCCGGTCGCGGCGTCAGCGGGTAGTGCGAATCTGCTAATTCCATCCTCAGCCTTCTCGTCATCCTCTCCTATGCACCTGTCCAATCCCTCTCCTCTCCTCTTGCTCCTCTCGCCTCCACTCAGTCACTTCCTCCTCCATTTCTCCCAACCTCCTTCTTCCTACCAATATCAAATCTACCTTCCCCCTCCCCTCCAGCCTTGTTTCCATGCCGTACCTATCCTGGGCGTTTCAGGCGGCATAAATCCTGGCGTGACGGGCCATTGGCCGGCATGGCTGTTGGGATGTGAAGGGATGTGGAGAGAGTTTGGTCGTACGATGCGGGGCTGAAAGAAGAGATCAGAGGAGACGGAAGAAGGGGAGGAGAGGGAGGAGGGAGGAGGGGAGAGGACAAAGGGGAGAATGAAAGGGAGTGTTGCAAGATATCTCACATTTGTCTGCCCATCTACGTCCATCGCATTTGGATCCTGCTCTTTCTTAACCTGAATGTTCGCTTGCATGATGAGACGGAAGTGGCAAGGATAGGATCAATGGGACAGTAGCTAGAGGCTCATATTCCTTTCTGTAATGCACAATTAGACCCAAAACAAACCAAGGCATGACGTAATGGTAAAGATATCATGATGTACTGTTCTCAAATAAGACACCATGATGTAATTTTCAATCTCGACTCATGTCTGCCGGACACTAACACACTTTTTGAAGTTTATTTGCCCACCTGCATAACATCTGTATGCTTTTCAGACTGGAATGCTGAATATTTGGCTATCCTCTTCCTCCATCTCATCCGGATAATATTCATCTATTCCGATGATTTTCTTCCCTCTCCTCATCCCCGCTCTCTTCTGCTCTCTCATTCTGTGAGATCCCCAGCCCATGCATGCGCCTCAACACTAATCTCCTCCCTCCTACCCTTGTGCAATTCTGCTCTCCACTGTACATCATATTCCCGCCCCCCTCCTCCTGCTGCTGCTCTTCCTCCTGCTTTTGCTGCTGCTGCTGCTGCTGCTGCTGCTGCTGCTGCTGCTGCTGCTCCTGCTGCTGCTGCTGCTGCTGCTCCTGCTCCTTCTCTGCCAGTCATTTTGGTAGCATCCGTCCTCGCGCGAATTCACAACTTTGAAACTTTTCACGACATTAACTTTGAAACTTTTCACGACATTTAACTTTGAAACTTTGGCTCGACAAACTCTCTGCAGGCCTTACAAAGTTTCCCCTCGGAGCACCGGCGTGCGGCGGCCCGCGGCCCGGGCGCCTCGGCTTCACTCAGTCACAGTCACGGCACAGTGGTGCCGCCGGCCCCGGGCGTGCCGAGTGCCGATCATCATCCGCGGATCCGATCCGCGGATGATACCGTTTGGCTTGGCAAGCCAAACGGTAGCTTCAACTTGATGATCGGAAGGCGATGACGCGAGTCACTGAGTTTATTTATTTCCTATGGTGTGCTATGTTTCCATGCAGCACTGTGCGGTGCTGCTGCGGCGAGGAGCCGCTGAGCCGCGTCATGGGCGGCCAGGGAGGTCTGGCAGCTGAATGTACATGAGGGTTACCGCCTCGTCCTGATCCTCCTCATTCGTCCAAGCCAAACTAGAGATGAGGTTGAGGACGAGGAAAGAAGAGAGCACAGCAAGGGATACCTGCAGCACAGACCCGGGAACAGGGGCTGGCGGTTTCGTTTCCGTGGCAGGCTCAGTTTCATCCTCTTCCTGTTCTTCATCTCCTTCCACCACGTCGTCATCGGAGATCGGCAAGCCATTCTTCGCCTGTTGCTTGTGCACGTCAGCTGAAGGGGAGCAACTCCAGCATGATTACCTGGCTGTCATGTTGCCTCCACCTCGGCGACTTTCCTTCCAACGAGGACTCGATGAGCGACGAGCCAAGATTATTGTACATCCCCTCCTCTCCCTCTACGTCTTCGCTGACCACCGCATAGTCCTCCTCCTTGGAGTCGGCGGCAGCCTCACCCCCCTCTTGCCCGGCCTCTGTTCCCTTGTCCTCCTCCGCCAAGTAATCGGATGCCAGGGCTCCGGGGTGGATCACCGTCTCGTAGTCGAGAGGCTCAATGAAGTCTTGCTCCGAGTTGATGCGAGGCAAGCTCCCGAGCCCCGGGCCTGACCCGGGCACCTTCCCCATGTTGCTGCGCATGTAGGAGCCTTTCTGTGAGCCGTACGTGCCCATGAAGGAAGACTTGCCGCTGAGCGATCCCATGCCGTGCAGCCGCGCATACGTTGGGCTCTGATAACTGAAGTTGTCGAAGGCTGCTGGCTCCTCGGGGCTGGCAGTTGGCGAGTCTTCGGCTGCAGGTGGAGCTCAGGTGGGATAGGCAGGCACAAACATGAGACACACCTGGCTTCGTGGTGAAGCGAACATCGAAGTGAGACGTATCGTCGATCGCCAGAGGAGCAGGAGTGAACGGAGGGGACACCTCCTTGCGATAAAGGGCAGGGAAGTCGATGGACGAGAAGAACGCATGCCGCTTGATGTCAGCAGCCCCTCGGGTCCCGCTACCAAGACGAGCAGCAGGGTCCCTGACCAGCAGCTCTCTGATGATCGCCTTGGCTGAAGGAGACAGCCACTCTGGCACGTTGAGCTCTGCCGAGAGGATCATGCGAAAGGTCATCTGCCGGTTCTTGCTGTAGAAGGGAGGACAGCCGGTCAACATCTCGAAGATGAGAACCCCCAGGCTCCACCAATCCACTTCCTTCCCGTATCCCTTCTGCTTCAACACCTCTGGCGCAAGGTACTCCTGGCATACACTCATCACCCCTGATCCCTCCGCTCTTCTCTCCTCATACCGTCGTTCCAACAAACGTGTTCATCGACATCCCTTCCTCAAAATTCTCCTTGCTCAGCCCAAAATCCGTCAACCGTATGTGGCCCTCGCTATCGGTCTGAACATTGACGGTAAGGGAGGGAGGGAGGGTGCAGGGAGGAGAGAGAAGGGAGCAGGGAGGAGAGAGAAGGGAGCTGGGAGTCGAGAGCAATACCAGGACGTTCTCGGGCTTGAGATCTCTATAGATGAACCCATGCTCGTGCAAGCATTCCAGTGCCATCAAGACCTCTGCAGCATAAAACTTCGACCTGAACAGAGTGCTTTAATATCTGAAACATGCGACAAAACATTTCAAGGCACCTTTCTTCGGGGAACCTTCGAGACACTGACAGATGGTAGAAGATGTCTCCACCATTGAGATAATCCATCACCATGTACAACTTTCCTGCAAACACAACACGTCACACACACAATGACAATGAAGAAGACAGGCAACCATTGTTCTGGAAGGCATAGTGCAGCTTCATCACAAAAGGATGGTTAATCTTCTGCATGATGTTTCGCTCTGCAAGGGTATGGCGAACCTGCATGCTGAATCACAGGCTGCAGGAGCCAACTGCATTCTCTACCTTGTTGTTCTTAACAACATGGGCTTTCTTGATTGTCTTCATCGCATATATTTTGCCATTTTTCTTGCACTTGACCATCATCACCTGTCCATTTACCGTCACTTGTGCCTCTTCGCAACATGCAGAACGAGAACGAGATATCTAGCAGCCCTTCAAACATCTTGCAAATATTGCAGCACAAGAGATCGGGATAATGGCACAATCGTCTTCACCTTTCCGAAGCAACCGTTGCCAATGACCTTCATCGGCTGTACAACCATTCGATTCAGTGAGCATGTCACAGGAGGAAGATCGTCCAACCTCAAAATCTTGCAAAGAATATTTTCCTGCAGCCTCAGAGTTTCCTTGAGGTTCAATCAAAGAAATGGCCTTGTCGACTTCCTCACTGATCCCGTTGCCATGCTCTCTGCCGACCTTGGATACCTTCGATCCCTTGGCCTTGTCTGCAACGGGCACCGGCACACTCGTGGTCTTGGGTCGAGAATTGTTGTGCTCCAAGTCTTGATGGGAGTTTGCATAGGGATGAGAATAATCCCCTGATGCAACTCCAGCACTTCCTTCTCCGTTCTTGCCGTTCGCATTCCCCATCCTCACTAGCTAAGTGTTTTCACAACTGACGGTAGATCTTCAACGCTTTCGCCCTCAAACCCATTCAACCTCTCCCTCACAACAAGGTCGCCATATGCGATGCTATGCAAGGGCTCGTATCAGAGTATCTTCTCTCCTCCTCACGACCAGACCGAGGAAAGGGATCGCAACACCTCCCTCCTGCCTCTCCTGGTCCCCTTGCCAATCCAGCTTGTCAGGTCTTCAGCTCCTCAGACCGGGATCACCAAGTATTCATCTTATCCTCTGATTATCCTCTCCTCTCCTCTCCGCTCCTCTCCTCACTTCCTCTCTCCTCTCTTCCTCTCTCCTCACTGTCCTGTCCCTTCCCCTTCTGTTGCAGCCGCCATGTCTCGTGAAGGTCGCCCTCATCCCCTCTTTTCCTACCCTCTTGCAAGCCCACTCTCTGAGCCCGGCGGAGTCAC